GGCGGCACACGCAAGGGGCTCCCACGCACACCCCACCATACCCACAACACACCCTCCCCCTCAAACAGTCACACACCCCACAAACACCGCACCCACCCACACCTTTCCCCTCACAAATTCCACATGCACCCTCCCCACCACACATGCACACACCCATGTGCTCCTGGGGGGGAACCCCACTCACTGGTACGTGCACACACCCCACTATACATGCACCTACAGCCCCCCATGGACACCCCACACCCATCCCCACACACACCCCCAGCCCCCCCCCCCCCCCACACACCCCATACGAACACACACACGCACATCCACACATCTCCACAAACGCTCCCGCCCATACCCACCACCCTCCCTCACACACATACATCCACATACACACCCACATCCCCCCACAAATCCCATACTCACCCCTCCATACCCCCCACCCCTCCACATTCCCCTACAATATACAAGAGTAAGACCTCATTTTCAAGTATTGTGCTGTCGCCACTCAAACACACACAAACCAGGACAAAAATATTTTAAAAAAAATAAAATTAATATATGTTATTGTCAGTGTTTGATTTTTAGCATACAATTTGTGTTTTTTTTCTAGTTCCAAGATGGCAGACCCCCTTAACAAAAGGAGTACTTCTGGGGGCAAGGGGAGGGACTTCTGGTGGCAAAGGTCAGGGATTAGGGAGTGGGACTTCCAGTCCCAAGATGGCAGCCAGAGGGCAGAGCAAGTGTCAAGGGGTGGGGCTGTCCTTGTGTCCCTTGACAGCTTGCCAAAGCTCATTAAACAGCGCTCTACTGGAAATAATTGCCCACCCCTGATTTCTTTATGACATGCTGCAACCATAAACACAGTGAGGTGAGGGAACAACAAGAGAATGGTTAGGTTAACTTGTTAGCCTCATTTTATTTTCCTCTGGGAGAAAGCTTTTGTCTAGCTAAATGCAAAATGAATTCTTTGTGCTTCATGAATAATGACTTACACTCCAAAGCAAGGAGGAATGATATAAAACACTCAATATTTTTGTAATATTTCTTTAAAAAATGTGTGCTATTGGACATTTTAAATTATAACTTACTGATCATAATCACTTTTTATTAAATGCCACTATCAGCAATGTATTCTAAAAGCTAAAAAGAAGAAAAAAAAAATTAAGGCCCTCATCTTCCAAACATGTAAATACAAAAACTGATTTACATGAGTAGTCCTAGCAACTTTCACTGAATTAGTCATGTTCTCTAAGTGAAACAGATCCATAAAGTATTTAATGCATTAGAGGGCTAACATTTATATTTGCTGCTAAAAGCTTTTAATGTTAAAATCTTTGTTACTTCAAACTAAATTGATGAAGAGTTAAAAACAGAGACTTGTTTATACTTTCAGTACATCAGCAAACTTGCTGTGAGCACTTTTTATGCATACATTCCAACTTTTTGTGTAAAAATTAGAGCTGTAGAATAAAATTCCTGCATCTGTATTTTGGCAAGTAGTGTTAGAAATTTCTAAATAATCTATATGACAGAGGAGCAGGACTTTAATAGATTCCACGCTGCAAAGCCTTGAGGAGGAATCCATTTCTGTTTTCTTGGCCTATGGAAGTTCTCTTTATTGGAAAATGGAGTTGGTTGTAAATATGCTTAAAGGTATTTGCCAGTTTGTTGTATGAGTTTGTGTTGTGTTCTCAGTAAAAATGTAAATAAGAATGTGGGCTTGCCTTTTTCAAGCTTACATGAGAATCTGGAGTGTAAAAATTTTCATTTGAAAAAATCTAAATGATACTAAAAATTAGGAAACAAATTAACAAATACAAAACATCTACTAAAAAGTTATAACTATAATTTAAAGCAAAAGTAAAAAATTATCAACATATACATAAAAATAGAATGACATTTCATAAAAATTACACCCCAGGGAATTATGCGCAGAAAATTCAAAATTATGCACTGAGTCCTGCGGGTTACATGTGGTGGCACAGAACCAGCCTAGCCTTGCCCACTTATGCATGCCTTAGGGCCAGACCAGATCGGCTCTATGCCAGCACATGGGGCTTGCAACGCTGCAGGAGGGAGCCATGTACCATTGGGCCAGCTGGACTTTGTGTCTCCATGTGGGACTTCCACCATTGCAGCAGGAAGCTGCATGTGGAAGCACAGAATCACAAGCCATCAGGCCAGCTAGAGTGCTGCTAGAGTGCTGGAAGCCCCACATGCTGGCACGGAGCCAGCCTGGTCTGGGGCAAAGGTGCACACCATTTGGCTGGCCAGACTAGCTTCATGGTGCCAGGTGCAGCCTCCAGGACTCAGCTGAAGCCGCATGCAGCTGGGAGGCTCTGCCTGCCATGGCCATGAATGCCCAGAGGTCCCACTGCCAGCAGCAGCAGAAGCTGTGCACCATGGGGGGAGGAGCCCACCCCCACCCTCAAAGCCCACACACACCCACACACCCCCTCACACCCACCCAAAAACCCCACACTTATCCACTGTCCTGCAGACAGGAGCTCCCTACTCACCAGTTGTCCAGTCGTGCACTCCCATGCTCAGTGCCCCCACATGGGATTCCCAGCTGAAGTGCTGGGACCCTTGCAAAGGTGGAGGCACAGAGCCTGCCCATGTTAAGTTATGCAAAATTATGCAGTTATGCATGGTCATATGTATTATGTACAAAATTCCATGGGCGCATTATCACGTAATTCCCTGGGGTGTAAAAGATCATAGAGAAGTAAGGCTGGAAGGAACCTCCATGGCTAGGGACCTACTGAATTCCCCATCCGTAGGTGGAAGTGGACTGTGCAGCAGCTTCTTTAATCTTGCAAACTCCCCCTCATTGCTGCAGGTCCCAGGTGGCCCTGCTGCTTGCTGCTGATCAGTTGGGAGGCAAAAACGACACCATATTTAAAATCACAGTATTTGCCTCCCTGCTGATCAGAAGTGAGCAGTGGGGCCCCTCTACCAATTGGCAGGGGTTGGGCGGGAGGCACAGGGGCACCTGTAAGACTAAAGGAACTGCCATGCAACAAACTTCCACCATGAATTTGATACGTCCTTATCCATAGGTCATCTAGTCCAACCCCCCGTCTGAGGTAGGATTGTCCCTAAATAGATTTTAGAAAAGATGTATGTAAAGTGTTACTTTTAAAACTATTTTACATTGTTATTTTTTATCTGTTTGGTTCCAAAAAGAGTAAACATAACATCATCAGAGCTCACAAGGTTGAGTCTGAAAGGGAAAGTCAAACACATTTACTAAAAAGTGCATAAATTATGCTGAAGGTTTCAAATAGATAAACTTAAAATTACAACTATATATTTGAAGGAGATTTCAGGGGATTCTGCTTCCTATGAACTGAGTTCAGTGTCTCCTCCAGAAGCTCTGAGTCTCCTCTGGAAGTTAATATTACCTCAAACTGTTAGGAACAAATGCATGCTAGGTGCAAGTTGACATATTCAATTATGGCATTGTAATTGTTTATAAGACTGCTGAATACAACACTTAAAGTGGAGTGGAAGCTGCATTTCCCATGTTTGGGATCAACTGATTAACTAGGTCATGTGCTAGACAAAAAATGTGTGACTTCTGTCTTTCTGATGATTTCTGTTCATTGTGCTGTTGCCTTATTCTTCCAACCTTCTCCCATCCCTGCCCTCCATTCCCCATTTGTCTGTTTTTTCCACTGTCATGTCCTACCTGTAGAGAACTACCTAAATTGCAGCAGAAGTTTGCAGCTCAGTGGCACCTATAATCTTTTTGCCATGCACCCTCCCACCCCCACCAGTGAGTGGCCAAGAGGCAATTAATGTGTCTTGGCCACTTAGCAGAAGGGGGGAAGAGGATGTTCAGAGAAAAGAGCTATATTAAAAACAGTGCTGCACTTCAAACTTCTGCTATGATTTAAGTAGGTCCCTACCAATCTGCCCTAGGGCCATCTGAGGCAGAGGCTGTTGTCCTTCACTATTTCTCTGTGCCATACCTAACAAAATGCAGCCCTGTTTCTTGATTCGGGCTTCTGAGTGTACTGTAATCCAAATAATACTAATTATGTTGATTAATTCTCTGGGTTCACTATGGGTAATTTCTTCCTTCAAAGGCCTCTGAGCAAGAGTAGTCGTTTTGCCCCCAGTATGCCAGCCTGATAGCTGGAAGTAGATTCTGAAATCTTACCTTCCATGAAAAGGATGAGTCAAAGACCTGTAGAACTTCAACATCACTTTTCCAATGCCCCTTTATGTGGCAGTGTGTAATGGCACCCTGAGTGGAGCTACACAAGTGATATCCATCCTCTGCATGTGCAAGTCCTCACTCAGTGAAATCATGTATTTTCCAAAATGCAGGACTTCTCTGAGGAGGTAGGCTGGATTTTGGATTGTCAAAATGATTTTGCATATACAGATACATTTAAAAGGCACTTCAATTTCTCTTCCAAATAAAATAGTTTACCTATGCTTTTGATTTCTCAGAAAATAAAGAAAGTATCCTTCTCCAAAGTCCAAAGCAGACTTATTTTAGCTAAAGTTTCCATGCCATCTTTTTCTGCATTTGGCCTTACTCCAGTTCTAGGTACCTGCCAGGACCAATCTGAGATGGGCCAAAAACACTTAGGATGTTCATCCTCACTGCAGAAGCCAGAAGCATAGACAGATTATCAGCATATTACATTCTGACCAAGAGCAGTTTGCATTCTGTGCTTGTTTGAGTCCTGTTTACAATATTTTTTTTGCCTCTGCTCCTCTCTCACATTGGATTCATTGTGACACTCAGCAACAACTTTATTAAAAAAGATGGTTTAGAGTTCCACTTCTTCCATAGAAAGTAGTGTTACAATACTGCCAAGTTTGCTAAAAGGTTTAAATGGTGGTTGTCTGGGGAGAGCTTAGAAAGAAGCAGAAAAAAAATACCTTTGGACAAATGCATGTGCAAAGATTGATTACTTTCCTCTGTTCAATATACAGTTACCAAGGGAGAGCTTTTTAACCTTTCTCTCTTTGTTTTTCATTCTCCTTTTTAGACCGTTGAAAACTGTGTGTGCATTTTGAGGAACCTCTCGTACAGGCTCGCTGCAGAAACATCTCAGGGACAGCAGATGGGAACAGATGAACTTGATGGATTACTGTGTGGTGATGCCAATGGCAAGGATGCAGAGAGTTCTGGGTGTTGGGGCAAGAAGAAGAAGAAAAAGAAATCCCAAGATCAGGTATGGAAGTGACTTGCAGCTGCCTGCAATTAGTATGAGTGTCTATCACTGAGGCTTTAGTATTAACTTTTATTGGATCAACAATATTACCAACAAACCTTTGATTCCCTGGAACATGACAGCTACAAAAACACTACAGCTCTACTGTCACTTATGTACAAAGACTTAATGTTATATATTTGTGAGCATGCAATACCTAATCTATAGCAAGGTTTCCTCAAATAATTTAGTGAGTTTTTCAAGCAGAGAATGGTTGTGCCATAGTCACAGGTTGTGCATTTTCTTTAATGAATTGCACATTTACATAGTAACATCTGGACACTACAGTGAAGGGGATATTATGAATAGCTGAATACAGTAGACTGCTTTGTAATCAATAATACATTATTTATTATTAAATGTGAAACTCCTGAAGTTCCAATATAATTTTCACCTTCTTTAAAACCATTTGGCACTGCCAGGCCTATGTAAAGGGTCCTTGATGTAACTGAAAATCCAGTCCATATATGTGGGTTTGAAGGGTTCTGTGGGCAGAAGTTCTTTGTTGAAGAGGAGATTTCAGTTAGATACTCATTTATTCCACCACTTTCAGAAAGATCTGCCCTACAACTACCACAGCTTACAACCAATAAACCAGTTTTGTAAGGATATTTTCCTGAAGCTGTTAGGCAACTTTCATAATATTATAGTTACTTCTGTTTTTTGTTTGCAGTGCTGCTGAATCTATGAGCAGGGACCAGAGGGGTAGGAAGAATACATTATTATCTGCCCCTCCACATCCTTAAACTTTTGTCCTAAATACAGATGTTTAAAGAAGCCTGAGGCGGAAGTGATCTAAGTTTTACACTTTACTCTAAGCATGCCCTAGGTTAAATCAGGAGGGAACAGAACACATGTTCGCCCCCTGGTTGGTGGGGGGGCGGGGAGCGCGTGGGGTTACAGGGCACCCAGGCTGCCTGCACTGGCCAAGGCTAGAAGGTTAGAGGCAGACCTTCATGTGTCCCAGCAGGCTGCTGGAGAATGCTAAGCCGATGGAGAGCTGAGTGCAGCCCCAGCCCCCTGCCAGCAGCTGGCTGTCAGCAGTGTTGGGGTGGGATGGGGTGAGGTGGGGGAGTAGAGGCCCCTGCCATGTCCCCC